TGTTTATCATGATATCACTTATGATAACAAAAGCTATGATGATCTCCAGTATATATTACTGAATATGTCTTTTTTTTAATAGTAGTGCCTTACTGTTACTGGCTTACTGCTATAGATTTTCTCAGCCTATTTTATTCTTTCCAATATTCCTTATACTGTTATAGTAGGATTTCAAATGATATTCATATATAAGAAAAAGCAGCATTTATAGACAGGTCATGAATGTTGTTAATGTTATCTATTAGTATCTCCAATATTTTCACTTTTTGTATTCTTTCTGTAACCCTTAGGGTGTTTTCAACCATTTTTTATAAATAAAGATCATGGTATGGCATGTAACAAACCTGTCTCTCATCATTATTTAAAAATAAGTCATGATCACTCAAATTCTGATAACTCATCCTTCTAGCATAGGAATCATAGCTTGATAATTTTGTTTTGTCCATTACTATATATCAGAGACAGCTAGAATTCGCTTTCACACTCAACAAAATAACAAAGAACTAAACGAAATAGGTATAAAAGGAAAATAAAAGGACGACTAATCATCTCAACAGCTAAATTGAGTATTTAAATATAAAATCAGGCAAAGTACTCTGAAACCTTCGAATGTCAACAAGCATCTTGCCATATATGGATTTAAGGACTCATTTCACGGTTCGTCTAGGACACCTAATTAATAGAGTGCTTGTCAAGAAAGGTGTCTTTTCTTTCCGAAATCCGCCATAGTTGCAGTATGGTTGAGGCTGGGTGAGAAAAGGAGGAGCCTCGAAAATTGTTCATGTACAAAAGGAGGGGTCCTGGAATTTTTTTATGGATTTAAAGGAGGGGATTTGAAATTTCAGGTGAAGGTCTAAAGATAGTGAGGGGGGGGGACCTTGAAAAAGATCACTTTCTTTGTTGGGGGGTCCCTAAAAAAACGGGCGTTTTTTCCAATTTCTCACCCAGCCYCCTCCCCCAGTTAAATAATGAACGGTCCCTAAGACTTAAGAAAATGAAGAATAAATGTTGAAAAKGATGAGCAAAGCTGTCTTCAAATCGCAAGCCCTTTACGTTCGGTTAATGTCTAACACAAAGACATTTACTTACTAGAGAAAACTTCAAACAAATTAATAAGTAAATTACCACTCTTTTCACTGCTACGCGCAAGGGCGGATCCAGGGGGGGG